GCAAAGTTGTTTGCTAGTTATAAAATCAATATTTTAATTATAAGCACTGGGTGCTTGCTATTCCTCTAGCATGTCATGTCTTGGTTCTCTTAAGAACTATCTTAACGTAAAAGCACCATGAGGAGCGGCTGGAGAAGCATAGCTATTGAGGATCCGTTCAGGCAAATACTGTTACTTTTATTATCCTGTTCAATAAGAAAAGTACTTATTAGTTTTGCTTGCAACAAAACAAAAAATAACAGAATCAGAACAGGCTGAATCCACCAAACGAACAAGTTCCACAAACAAACAAGTTTTGCATTGAATGCACCCTTTTTGTTTCAGCTGCACGCATTTAATCAAAGTTTCGTAAATTCTAAAAGAAATCTTGGGGGTAGTAGTTTGTAGTTGGCATAATTAAAAGATTAGCAAGCACAATAAAAAGTGGAGAATTGAAACATATTACTATAGAGAAACCTATTTAAAGGAGAAATTAAGAGCAATTATACACTTAGTTTTTACATTTTTCTTAATAATATCGGCCAACATTAAGGGACCAGAACTCCCGAAATGCTTTACTTTAACGCACTTTCAAGAAATTATATAACACGACAAAAATTATCATAATTCGGTCAATCGCCGTCTTAATAAGATGCTAAATGACATCAATCGCCGTCTTAATAAGATGCTAAATGACAAAGAGCCTTTGATGTGCAAAATGACAGATTGAAAAACGTACTGCAGTTTTATACACCAAAATTATTTATATTTCGTGTTAATTTTAAATGAGAATTTTATAATATTTTCGGAAGATTCTGAGCAAAGAATAAACGATTGAAGTTATATTATCTCTTCGACGACTGCCCAGAGTTTTCCGATGAAAACCACGATGTTTAAGGGAGAATTTAATTTAATTTAATTTAATTTAATTATAAAATTCTTAATTATTAATAAGAAAAAAAGACAAAACCTTTTACGGCAATACCTTAGTATTCGATCAGGATCACCAGTAAGCCAAGTGTATAAGATCACTAAACATGGTTAATTTCACCCACATTCGGTTCCCAACCAAAAGGCTGGCTTCACGGAGTTTCTGTGTTTCTCCCGTGCGCAAAGTCAATGCAAGCCAATTTGCCTAAGGAAATCGTCCAAGCCTCCCTCCAAGCCCATGAAATATCCCTCCAAGCCTCTACCATAATCAATTACCCTTAAACTATAGATGATCACATCTAAAAACGACCAGTATTTCTCGGAACATCAGTACTAAACATCACGTTTTTAGGCACTTCCAAAGAAGCAAAATTGTCTTAAACTAAGAGTAGTCGTGCTGGGAAGATTTCAATAACCATAGTTTAAAATACCGCAATTACGATATTTTTTGCCTGTCGGAAAATTTAAAAAATTTCACGTAACAAACTGCCCACTACTCGAAAAACTTAAAACTGCCCACTACCCGAACTACTTAAAACTAGGAAATCGAGGAATTTCCTAGTTTTAAGTAGTGTGTCCCAAATTGTTTATGAAAGTTAAAAAAATAGGTAATATAAAATATTAATTTTAATTTAAAACAATCCTTTAATTTTGTTTATTTCCCTTTTTTGTCTTAACAATAATAACTGTTATAATAAATCTCTCTGAACTGCGTAAGGTCAAAAAATAATCTTTGCTACACGATTTTTATGTAACGCTAACGGCACAGGTATTTGCATAACGCTTCAGTCAATCGTACTATAATACTGCGAATTGAAGCTTAAACTTGTCAACAAAGTGAAAAAACTAAATCTTTCTTTCTTACTTCAACCTTCGAAATCTAACTCGGCAATTCTTTTGCTTCTCTGCTTTGAGAGCTCGCTGCCGTTACTTTTTCTGCTCAAGTCCGTTAGAGGATTTGACAAGTCTCGGCCTCGTAAATTTTCTGTACCGAACTCGACTTTGAGGGGCAACGCCCTAAAACGCCTATATAAATTACTTAGTACTAGTAAATAAATATTTACGCATTCGTTTGCCTTTCTTTCTATCTAAAAACTGTTTCACTGTTCATAAAAATGAATCGTTTAAAAATAAATTCAGTTAAGGGATTAATTACAAATCTGTAAAAAAGTGCAAATGTAACTAAATATTCAAGTAAAAACGGGCTTTTTGCTCTAATTCAGTTGTGTATGTCTTCATAAGATTATTTTATTAACAATAAAAGACAGTATTCAACCAGCTAAACCGCTTCTAGTTTTTCACGAACTGGCTGCAATCAATAAGAATTACGTCCTAAATTATCATTCATATAAAAAATGCAATAAAAAATGCGTGAATGGAAATTCCAACTTTAGTCTGCAATAGTTCCTTAACTCTCAATTTAACTTCATTATTTACCCTTTCTGTCCTAAAAATACTAATTGTTTATATAAATTGCTATGAACTAAGTCATTTCAATATTAATACATGTCATATGATTATTGTATAACGCTTACGATGCAGATATTTACATAACGCTTCAGCCAATAATGATTTCAAATTTAGGAACCGAAACTTACTACTTGCCAACGGGGGCATATTTGAACTCAAACCATTTTTATGGTTTGAGAAGAATGAACTCAAACGAGTTCATTCTTCTCAAACCATAAAAATGGTTTGAGTTCTTCGTTAAAAATGGTTAACCATTTTTATGGTTAACCATTTTTAACGAAGATTTCGTACTGGACACGTCGCATTTGCCTCTCTCACTTCATTCTTGGCAATCTGCTTGCTCTCCGCTGCAGCACTACTTTTTACCGGATCGAAATTAATTGTTAGGAAGATGTGAAAAAGCCACAAATGTCATCAAAACGTGCGCAGATTGCACTGCGTAATTCAGGTTACGAATTACTAATGTGATTTTCAAAAATTCTGCGAAAAAAAATTAAATAGGCATGATTGCTAACATTTTTAATGCAACTACTACTTTATGCATCTTCTTGTCTTTTAAATTTTACATTCATTTTAAAGAACTTTTCCAAGATGGCACAATCCTTTTCCCTAAATTATAAATTTCAAGCTTTTGACATGTTTAAGCTCTAGACGAGCGATTTATTGATTTATTTACTTATTTCCCTTTTTAGAATTTCATACTTTACTTTTAAATTACATATCTACATTATATTCCCAAAAGATTAATTTTTAGGGAAGGAAAGATGAAATAATTCGCATTTTTTAAAATAATTCTCAGGATTTTGTTTTTGTGTTTATTTTCTGGTGACTGTGTCCGTCCTTCTAATTGGATGCAGTTTTTGCCATTTTTAACTTCTACATGTTATTAAAACTTTTGCCATTATTCTCACGGAAGATTTGGTCTTGCGATTATTTAGACGGCTTCCCATTCACTTATTTATTTACTCTGTTTCATTTTTCTACCCCACCCCACTTTTTTTTTTAAAAAATATAGTAAAACTCTAAGACAACCAACCATCTACGGTTCTATTATTCAAATATTATAATTTAATGTCTATTCTCCCCACCCTAAAAAAATGATTTTCAGAAATAATTTCAAAATCTTCTCGGCAACCCTTTTGTTGCAGAAAGACAGGGTTGCTTAGCACCACAGACTTCGCTCCTTTTTTGTAACTACAATATATGACATAAAGCTTCCTTTTTTTCTTTCTTTGGTTGCTTTCGGGTAGTTCCTGGTGCAACAAAAGAACGACCTCATCGAAGACGATTGACTTCACAACTGATAGAAGAGAGAAGGCAGACGTCATTAGCTGCGTTTCCTGCTTCTACAGTTACGTAGGCGCTGGTAGGGATCTTCTTCGCCACATCATTCATTACTACGGGTCTCGTGAGGTACTTGAAAAGATAATGCAGGAATTCCATTTCGCAACGGTCAGGAAAGGGGTCGGAGAAAAGAACATTATGCAAGGCTGCGTTTAAAACACCGAAGCTGCTGGTTTTAATGCTTTCTTTCACACAGAAACCTTGAGACGCATTCAAAACAAAAAAGCTGTAAACAGCATGAAGCAATATTCAAATGCCCGATATATCAGGTTTTTCAATACGAATTTATTTTAAATGCTGCATAATGTATCTAAGTCAAGGTTCACCCACTACTTGATTTTCAGTTTTACAAGATCTCGGGTGCAATGGAAAATTCTCACCCACTAATTTTTATGCTGAAGAAAATTTAGATTCTCGCTGTCGGTTATACAATCCAGATACCAAAAAAATCTATACAAGAAGAAAATTATTTGCAACATTTCTCCACAACAACTGAAAGCAATCTTAAACGTTTTAAATACCAAATCAATAATAAATAAAGATTTTAATATCAAAATGAATTGGTGATTAGTACAAAAAAAAATTCCTTCCAAAAAAGATATTGTTAAAAAGTAAAGATTAATATAAAAATTATTTTCAATTTAAAGTACACATATGTACCCCTCCCACGGCGGCAAAGCTATTATATTTATTTTCACAGAAGCAAAGAATGAATATCAAAGATTCTCTATTGATTATTTGACTCTTTCAAGGAAGTTTTTAACAACACTGCAAAAAATAAAAAAATAAAAATAAATAAATAATAAATTTAAAAAAAAAATAAATAAAAAATTATTTAAACATATAAACTTCACTTAATGGCAATGAACCTTTTCGCAATGACTACCTCTGAAAAGACCAATATTTCTACCTGAATAAACATCGACACTGAACATGACTTCTCTAACGTCATCACTTCTAGAGATTAAAACTGCGTAAAATCGTGAGTCGCATTGTGGGGCAGACCTATTCCCTAAATAATATAGTATATAATCGCCAGCCCACGATTTTTATTTCAAGTATTTTAGATTCTTTCGCAAACGGAAAAGTTCATTCCTTTATGTGGTGAAAAAACTGCTGATCATCTCGTCTGATACAATTCGATAAAATACCCGTTTGCTTACTTTTCTCAAAAGCTTCATCTCTCCTCCTATTCTTTCGTAAGTAGAAATTTAACAGCATTTTAAACATCCGAAGTAAACATCATAAACAAACGGAAACTAAAAAATTCTACTTACCTCAATGATTTCATTTAAATCCCTGACGTAGGTTTTTTCAGTGTCGACAATTTCTAGAACCACCCTATCCGTATGACTAAGATTGGGGTCGCACCAGCGTGGCTTGCCACTGGCCGCCCCTGATGTAGCAGTGCTAGAACCCACACCGATGGTAACATCACGCGTGGGTCCCGAACGATTAGATGTATCCTCGCCGAATCGATTGTCATCATCGTAATCATCATCATCCAACGATTCGATACTAGCTAAATATGACTTTTTCACATCAAGGCAGTTCCGTGGTAAGGAAGACGAGGATGAACTGGAAGATGAGGAAACAGAACTACTGCTCAATGGACGTTTCTTCTCCTAGAAGAAAAATAAATTTTATTGTGTAATTATGTAATGACACCAAAATGAACGTTTTTACTTTGAAAATAAACTGTTTAGCTGCTGACGTAAAAAATATAACATTACAACGTTATAATTTAAGAATGTTTGGAAAGCTTCACCTGAAGACAGAATTTCCAATATTATAACAGAGGAATACTAAAAAATCCAACTAACAAGTAAAAAATATGCGCAAACTTCCAAATACTGCAGAATAGGTACGGAAAACATCTACATGTTTCTAGGATCATTATTACTTTTAAAATAACACATCGACTTTATACCGAAGAGATATTACAACTTTCGATTTGATAGGAGATCGATTCTGCCCTTTTGATATCACGTGGATACACGTGTGATCAGCATTTAACTACTCTACTTCCCCATATTTCAATTAGATTGGTCAGATAAAATTTTGAATCAATTTACAGGGCCATACATAAATAGTCGTATGCAGAGGAAATAAACATCATAATCACATTTGCAACATAGAAATACCATAAATTATTTAATTCGGACACGATTAAATAATAAAACAACGTTATAAATAATGAAAATGATTTAATTTTTCTAAGAGATATTGAAATTTTACCTCTTTCACGGGGATGCACGGAAGCAAAAACATCTGACTGTAAGGCTTTACATGCATGTTCATAAAATATCCAAACAGCAGACAGAAATCATCCCAAACTAGCACATTTCAGTACAAATAGTAAGAACATGAGTAATAAAAGAATGATAATTACAGGATTATTGTCTCTACTTAAAAAGTTGCTAAAAAGAAAGTCGAAAATCGATATATCGGTGCATCCTAATTAATAATTACTGGCGCATTTAGTTAACAATTATTCTAAAAATGAGAACTAAACATAAATCACGAGGATTGGACGGGATGTCTGAAACAAAGTCTTCACTACACAGCTTCCAAGATAGCATGTAAAATGCTCAGAATAATCTTTACTAGGTGGCAAGCGAGACAAAATAACACCGGAATTGACGTGGTAGATTATCTAACATCGATAAGATTTTCGGGTGGAGTTCTACCATGCAGCAGCAGTTCAACTACTCGAAGGTCGGCCAGAAACAGCGGAAAAGTTCTAGGGTACTAACAATGTTACTCAAGTGTTGGGTACTGACAGTGTGTAATAAATACTGAATAAATTTCACTATATTTCAAATTTATTAAAATTTTAAAGCAGATATCGAAAGAAATTTTAATTAGATTCAGAACTTAAAATTTCTAAAATTAGAAGTACCAGTAGCCTATGGACAGTCAGCAGAAAGAATTAATAAAATGACTAATAGAGTAAAAAAATTAATAAAATGTAAAGAGATAAAGAAAAAACTTGATAAATTATCAAACTAATGATAAATAGTTAAATAATAAAATACCGGATCTCGTCTATTTGGGGCTCCGCTGGAATTATAATTTCAGTCAAAAACAAAGAAATAGTTCAATCGGACTCTGGCTGAATTTAAGACCGGAATATACAGTACAACGTACTATTTTAAGGCGGAAATTATGTTCCAATTACATAACAGAAATGCGCACCAGAGAGGCCCTTCTTATTCAGGGTACCGGTGCGCTTCTGACGCAATGCTGATTAGAATTTATTTATTTTGTAAAGGGGGTGGGCACAAAAGAAGAATAACTTTCATTTAATTCAACTGAATACTGTTTCAATACTAATTTCGCTTTAATTATGATTTTACAGATTTCACCGCAAAGTGTACTCTTTCGTCACAGCAGTACAAGTGTTTTCAAAGAAAACGAAGTTCAACTGAAAGGAAATGTAGACGTACGAGTGCTTTATCACATTAAGTCCAATAAGTTTATAAATTCAACAAGTACATATTACTGCCGTTTCATTAAAAGAACAGAAAATGAGCTGCAGCAGTACAAGTTTTAAACACAAAACATTTTAACAAAACTATGTAAAACTATTCTATTTAGAAACCTTACCGCGATAATACCGGCTTCAGAACGGGGGGGGGAGCTGAATTCATTATATGACTGTTTCAGTTACAAGACAATTTAGAGTACCTAACAGCAACTACTCTGGATAAGTTAATTATCCTGAAAGATCTCACATGTAATCCTTGGGGAAAAGCAAAAATCAATATTTTGCACCGGTTAACCATTATTTTAAAGTCTGCATCTCCCAACATTTGTATTAATAAAACTGGAAATTGAGTTAAAGCAACCATTCATTAATATTGTTACGAATGTAAAGGCGCGGTAAGATGGCTTCCCCGCAAAGGAGTTTTAGGGTTGCCATAAAATAGCAAGGAGGGCAGGGTTTTCACATTTGGAGAGAAATCGCCCATTTGGCGACAAAATTGGCGATATACCATGGAAGGTTGGAGAACCTTCTGGAACGAATTCTTACCGGTTTAGCCCAAAATGTTCCCAAACACAAGCCGAAAGCTATAAAAACCGTGCTGGTCTGCAGTCAGGAAGAGCGTGCCTCTCCTCGAGAGTATGTAAGCCTCGTCTAGCGAGTCAATCCCTGCGGAGTCGATCGAGTTGACAGCCGGGCAGCAAGTGCCGAGTGAGTCTTCGAGTCCACTGAAGGTGTCTGCTAGTGTATCGCGGTTAGTGCACCGTCGAGAGAGCGTGTTGAGCTCCGGGAAAGACTGAACCGAAGAGTCAAGAGCTGTGCTCGTGTGTCGTCGAGTGCATCGCGAGTTGTAGCGTAGAGAGTCTCGAGAGTACGTGGAGTTCCGAGAACGACCAAGCAGAGTCGGGAGCTGTACTCCGGAAAGCAGAGTCGAGTGCTTTGCAGGAAGCTGTCTCCACCGTGATAGCCAGATAACTTGAAGGCGGTGTCGCTGATCGTGTCAGCGTGTTTATAGTAGTTCATCGACGACTGTAAAACGTCTTTTGGAGCTGTCCTGACAATTATTGATAAATAAAGTGTGTTTCGATACTTCATAAAAGTGTCGTCGTTATTCACCCCAAATCCACACGAACCCCGTACGAACGTAAAGGAAGAAAATAACGTAACAAATGGTGTCAGAAGAAAAACGTAACAATATTCCGCTGAAATAACTTATGTTACACAAAATGCAAAAGTTAAGCAATATTTATAAAGTTTCATGTATTTGCTATCTAATAACTACATAAATGCAATAAGAGAATGATACAAATTTAATAAATGATAAATGACTTCTCAATTTAAACTTAAAAGCGGGAAGCAATTATCATATACCATGCCATAACTGTCTCGGGGATAATATTATCAGTAATGCTAGAACAATTTTTTATACGGCTTTAGTGATGTTATACTCAGATGTACCAATATATGCTATTGCTATTGCTATTTAACTGTTATTTCCAATATTGACAGATTTAAAACATCAGAGAAAATTCAACATACTTTCGACATCAGTTTAATGACGTAATTTTCAAGGAGCCACTCATAGCTGCTGACATCAGGCTTTATTTTCATTAGTGGGCAAAGTAAGAACGAGTGTTCTGGTAATGCGAATTTTGGATATTTTTGCACATGCAACAGAACCAGAAGATGTTTACGTTACACCCTTTCGCAATAACATTCACCTTTAGTCGATGATTTATGATGATTCAGGTCTAAAAAAATTAATACCATATCCACAAAGAACATAAAAGGAAAATAACATATTATCCTTTAAGTAATACCCCATATCAATAAATAATATTGTCGCGTAGATGAGGGGATCCTACAAATGAAAAGGCAAGTACAAGTCTAAACTCAAGACTTTATTAACTAGAACTGAACGAAGAGCTACTTATATACAGCTGGTGAACATGCTGAAACATTCCAAGTTCTGGAAGAATTAGAAGGAAATTTACATAAATAAGGTAACATTAACAACAAGGAAATTTACATAAAAACCAATTATCAGGCATCTTGCCGTTGATGGGTTTCGAACCCGGTACTTTCGGGTTTCGAGTACTGCGCCTTCTACGCTAAGCTATGAGGAGCTCGGTCGAAAAAGAGCGATTTTCGCTACATTTCCCCCTTCTTAGGAAGAAGCAGCGTCCTGTGCAATCTGGTCTGGCTTCTTGTAACAGGTCTCCTGGAAATATTGGGCTTTCTTTCATCGTCTAGTTGTACTTTCGGATCAAGATAGGGCTTCAACCTCAATATGTGAACGATGTCTTTTGAATTCCGTCGTTTCTTATTTGTTCCATACTTTCTACTTCGTACGTCACGTCAGAGAGCTGTCGTGTTATTCGATACGGTCCAAAGTAATGTCTTAGGAGCTTTTCGGATAACCCAACCTTTCGTACTGGAGTGAAGACCCAGACAAAGTCTCCGATGTTGTAGCTGACAGGTCGATGTTTCTCGTCATATTGGCGCTTGTCCATGGTTTGCGCTTTAAGAATATGGAGTTTTGCAAGCTGTCTAGCTTCTTCTTCAGCTCTAGTGATCAGATGTTGCGCATAACTATCTTCGGGATCTTCGATACTGTATGGGAAAATTACGTCGAGAGGAGTCTGGATATCTCTGCCTATAAATGAGAAAGAATGGGCTGAATCCCGTTGTGTCTTGTTTGGCTGAATTATAGGCAATAGGTTACAAATAGTATATCCCAATTTTTCTGTTCAACGTCTACGTACATGGACAACATGTCTGCCAATGTTTTATTGAATCTTTCAGTTAAGCCATTGGTCTGAGGGTGGTAAGCAGTCGTCAGCAGATGAGACGTCTTGCATAGATAAATTACTTAATAACGTTGGATAGGAAGTTGCGTCCTCGGTCACTTATCATTTCTTTGGGGGGGGGGCACCATGCTTCAGTACAATTTCTTCAACTATAAACTTGGCAATTTCGGTGCCCTCAGCTGTCGGTATTGCCTTTGTGACTGCAAATCTGGTAAGGTAATCTGTGCAAACTATAATCCACCGGTTCCCATTTCGAGTAACAGGAAAGCGTCCAAGTAGATCTATTCCAATTTTGGTAAACGGTGTGTCAGGAGGTTTTATCGGATGAAGCTGTCCTGGTGGACGTTGCGGCGGTGATTTCCGTCTTTGGCATTCTCGGCAGTGTGATACATACCGCCGTGTGCTTCCATATAGCCCTGGCCAATGGTACTTCCTCCTTATTCGGTCGTACGTTTTGGCAAATCCGAGATGGCCAGCGGTTGGAGCATCATGAAGACTTCTTAGAACCTCGTTACGAAGTTGCTTTGGTACCACCAAGAGCCACTGCTGTCCCATAGGATCATAGCTTCTTTTGTACAGTATACCATTTTTTATTTGATAATTTTGATATGCGTCACCTCTCTTGAGAGTTGTAATGATGGATTTTAATCGTTTGTCCTTCTGCTGCTCTTTTCCGTAATCTACGATCGCTGCAAAGAAAGGGATGTCTTCATTGTTCTCAATTATTGGTTCTATAAGAGGCTTCCTTGATAGTGAATCTGCATCGGAGTGTTTCCGACCGCTCTTGTAGACGATATTTATGTCGTACTACTGCAATCTGAGAGCCCACCGTGCAAGTCTTCCGGATGGATCCTTAACATTGGCCAGCCAACATAAAGAGTGGTGATCTGTGACTACCGTGAAGGGTTTTCCGTAGAGGTATGGCCTGAATTTACTAATTGCCCAGATGACGGCAAGGCATTCTTTTTCGGTGGTGGAATAGTTCCTTTCAGCTGCAGTAAGGGACCTGGATGCATAGGCTATTGGTCTTTCTTTGCCATCCTGGATCTGAACCAGTACTGCACCGATACCATAGCCGCTAGCGTCAGAATGTATCCTGGTTTCTGCGTCTGGAATAAAATGTCCCAAAACAGTGCCACTGGTCAGCAGCCTTTTGAGCGTTGCGAAAGATTCAATCTGTAACGCGTTCCAAGAAAATTTTGCATCTTTCTTCAACAAGTCATGTAGGGGCTTTGCGATATCTGCGAAATTTTTGGATAAATCGTCGGTAGTAGGAGCACAAGCCCAGAAAACTTCGGACATCGGCGATATTTTTCGGAATAGGGAACTTTGCTACAGCCTCTACCTTTTGTGGATCGGGATATATCCCATTTTGATCGACTAAGTGTCCCAGTATAGTCAGTTTCTTTTTGCCGAATGAACATTTCTTGGAATTTAGCATCAGTCCTGCTCTTTGGATACATTTCAGTATTTCCCTTAAACGCTTTTGGTGTCTTTGAAATTAGGTGCGTACACGATTATGTCGTCGAGGTAGCAAAGACAAATATTCCATTTGAGACCTCTTAGTACCGTGTCCATCATCCGTTCAAATGTGGCTGGAGCATTGCATAATCCGAACGGCATGACTTTAAATTCATAGAGACCATCTGGAGTCACAAAAGCTGTCTTTTCTCTGTCTTTATCATCAACTTCTATTTGCCAGTAGCCTGACTTCAGATCCATCATAGAGAAAATTTTTGCACCAGCCAGGCAGTCCAAAGCATCATCGATGCGAGGTAACGGATAGACGTCCTTTTTAGTTACCTTGTTCAATTTTCTGTAATCGACACAAAAACGCCATTCACCATTTTTCTTCTTCACAAGCACGACTGGAGATGACCATGGACTATCTGATGGTTGTATCACATCTTCTTTTAGCATTCGTTGCACTTCGTCTGCAATCACACACGCCTCTCAGTGGCTGACACACGATATGGCCTTTGTTTGATTGGTGCACTGTCGCTTGTATCAATCTTGTGCTTCACCGCATTGCATCGGGATTTTTTCGCAATACTTTTAAAGTAAAAAAATGTCACTAAATTCATCTAGTAGACTCAATAGCTCGTCTTCCTCAGCATTGGTCAAATCAGTATCGAAAATCTCTTTTACGTTTTCTTGAGATAACCTTTTCCTGGACCTATGTCCCTTGGAACCTGATCACTTAGAGAGCAAATAGCGTCGCTTTTTATGGTCGTTAAATAGCCTACATTTATCCCTTTCGGTATCAGTTGGGTTCGTCGAGAACAATTAGTTACCCATAATTTACCACAACTATCCTCTATAGTGACAATTGAGGCTGGTATTGATAGTTCTTTTTCGCACATCAGAAATCAATTTCCAACAATCATAGCTTCATCTGCTCCCCGTAGCTCTAAATTCAAGGCACATATTCGCTTTGCGGTGTTTGCTTCAACACCGACACTGGCTGCGCATATATACAAAGAAAGTAACGTAATCACAATAAGTAAGTTAATATTTGGCGTCTTACATAACATTAATTCGAATTGAGTTTGGAAATGATGATTGGAATAAATAATTATAGCATCTGCCGCTTTCCTGAAAATATATAATTGATACGATCGGGGAAAAAAAAAATTCCCGTCTTTTTATTGGCAGTTCCCCAGTTCCAATAACGCCATTCATGCAGTTTTAATCTCGATGAAAAGGGAAAGTTTTCAACGCATGCGCTAATTCGTTCTTACCTGAAAAGCGGTGTCTGAGTAGCTGCGTTTGCTGTAAGGTCGAGTGGGACGGTGACCTGACGTGGGAAGCGCAAGAGGGGGAAGGCGCTTCGGGGACGGTTGGTATCCATTGCCCTTCCCCCCAGGATCACATGGTGGAGGAGAGGAGCCCAAGCCGTTCGTGGAATTAGGTGGCGTTGTTCGTTGAGAGGGAGCAACGGATGTGCCGCTTTCCTGGGAACTGTTTTTGGCCACAATCGTGTCAAACATATCTAGAAGGGTTGATGTTATGTCCACCGATGTACCTGTAAGGTAGAAACATATTGTAAAGAATACTTTCCATACTGATTTAAAAAAAAAAAAAAGAGAGAGAGAGAGAGAGAGAAGCGTTTAAGCATACCATTTTTCAGAATAGCAAGGAAGATAATCCCATCGGGTAAAATCCAGCATGCATAATAAATAAATAACAAATGCTGAAATTTACAGGACGGTGAATCAAAGCAAATTAAAATTTCCTATTTATTGATAACATAAAAACATTACAAAGACAGGGATGAAAATAATAAAATTAATTAAGAATGCATACAAAATCCAGTACAACAGTGACTATCATTTTACTCTAATGCTATGGAAACGCAAATGCTCCCCCAAACGTCACCATCTGTTTTTAAAACAGAAGCTTTTATGGAATTTATCAAACCATTTTTCACATTAATTTTCCAATAATTTTTCTTACTCAGAAATATACTTCAAGCTTTAAAAAAACAAATTAAATTCATCGAATTTATTTATATTATAACAACATCGGTATTTCTACATGAAAGCAGTTAAAATATTCTCATTATTTATCTCAATAATGATACAACGAATAATGTAAATGACTAAGTTGTTGGAATTTGAGCAAGTTGCTTAGTCTCTTAAATTTTTACACCCATTAATGGCAAAGGGTAAGTCGATAAAACCGCTTCATACAATAAGTCTTGGGTTCAGTTTCCAGCTAATCTGAAAAGTGATTTTTTCTGTATACGTTAACAGCATCCTGTTTTTCTCAGAGTGTTTTGTCTGTATATGTGAACAGCACCCTGATTCTCTCAGATAGCCTTTTAACAGAACATCTTTCCTTTATTATATTCAATTAACCAATAACCTCTGAATTTTCTAAAATCAAAATGTTAATCTAAAGTATATTTCTCTTGCTTACGGAAACCTATTTTATACTACACAAATTACATTTAAACTATAAAACACCGAAGAATGCGAGATGATTCATCCCCCTTGATATGCCATGATCAAGGGGGATGATGCATCTCGATAATGATAAAATTATTCCTTTGGTGATTTTTGCTTGGGACAATGACTAGCTCAACTGCTCAAACCTTTCATGGTAAGAAGCACATAATTTTTCAATACCTCTCACGCAAAGTGTGCTCTTCATTTGAGTCAATCTCCACTAAAATTTTAGAAAATTCCGCTGCCTTTTATAACATTTCAGTTACCTTCTTGCAAACTGTAAGGACGCTTTATCTTCATTATCACTGCTTTCATTGCCCTCTGCTGTTATAAGGTCATTCAGTTCTTTGTAATTTCTGGATTAAATCTACGACTTCTTCCATATCTACAAACCTTTCGCCGCCAATTCTTTCTTGCCAATTATACGACTTTTTCTGCTTCCATTTTGAAAATCCTACTTACCTATACGAGCAACCTAATACTTCAAAAATAATGGTTTAGGATAATAATCATTCCTTTAAGCCCTGTCAGACTGAAGGATGCCAGACACAACAGGCAACTTTTCCTAGAAATGCGCTCTTCCAAAACTAGATAAAAGTGGACACCTACTCGTAGGAACATTTTACCACATGCCAATGAGCCTATTAATCGTAAACTCTTTCCTATCCGCTTTTTGCTTTAGTGTTTGTACTGTGTATAAAAAATTATAAAAAACCAAAAAAAGCATAAAATATAAAATACAAAAAAATTATAAAAACCTAAAAACTTATAAAAAAAAATTTTATGATACTTAAGTTTTTGTATTCTCATCTCTATCCCTAAACTTTCTTGAGCCTGTGGCTCCCTCTATTGAGCATCAAGTAAATCACTTATGCCAAATTTTTCCAATTTCTGCTCTCTTTTAGTAATTCTGATGTGGAGGTAAATGGTTTTGAACCATAGGCACTCCGAAATTAGCAAATCATTGGCATTGGCATAGGAACATTTCACTCCAAAACCCAAAAATATTACTTACTGCAGATAGTTTAACACGAGGAAAGGGGTGGAGAATATCCTAGTGGAAGTGAAGTCTTATAGTTTCAGGGGAGAAGAATGCTGTCAGACTTTTATTATTTAGCTGCTATGTATTTAGTTCATGAATTAATATATATATTAAGTTTTAGTATTTATCAACATTTTCTATACTTTTTTATGTTTAATCTTTAAAAAATATCTAAATCGAAATAATGCATACGTATTTTTCAAGTTTTGTAAAGGAGGGACGAATAAGTTTCTAGCAATGGTGAAAGGGGTGTATGGAGAAAATATGTTGAGAACCACATATTTGGACAATCAGAAACTAGGTGAGGTATCACCGTTAATCATCTTTCGCAAGAGCCAGCAATAAAGGAATGTGTCCTATTCGAGCTACTGATTAAAGATAATTTAGCTACGCAAAAGAAAATTTTAGAAATGTTCTTTTAAAGACAAGATTTGGAAATCTGTTGTCTTATTTAAAAGGTAGCTTTGATATTCCACTTTTTTACGTTAAAAATTAAAAAAAAAAGTTAACGTTATCCTACTGTATGGTGTTAAGAATATTCAATTAATTATCTACCTTAAAAAACTGTCCTGGTGAAACATGTTTTTCAGATATGCAGCGTTTTATAATGTTTCATAAAAATTTCGTATGAACCATGAAAAAATGTTAAATAAATGTCAAAAATTTTTAAATCGTCTATAGTAACGCCAAAGAAGTATGCTAATTTAATTTAAAAATCCAACAAAGGGTAACAAAATAGAAACAAATTTAAACATAATAAATCTAGGAAATCAAAATAATATGTAATACTTCAAAATAAAACTCGGCACATCCTGTTTAACGATTTATTTATTCTTTTTAAGAAAACTAACATACCACATCCGAATACGAAGTCACTGTAAAAGTAGAAACGATTTGCCAAATGTTCCTAGATTTCATATAAGAATGCTCGTCTTTCATTGGTGTGTGTACGCTGATGACATATTATTTATGAGATTGTGCAAAGCGTGCGACACGTCACGATTACGAGGTTAATATTTTGAATAGTAAGCGAGGCGTATGAATTAACTGAGTACCATATGCAGTCGGCATCTTAAAATAGAAGGGTAGCACGACCGCTTATGTAAATACGGATGCAGCAATAAAACGACGAGAATGAATTTTCCCATTTTCCCAATTCGACGCAAGCTGGTACAGTCGAAAAGTGAATCATTTAACTTCACTATTAATAAATCGATTTTTTTTTTTCCTTTTTGCAGTAAAAATTATCTTTCAGCTAACTTAGCTATCCATTTAATTCGTGAAGCTTAACACATTTAAGGCTCCGTAGGTAACCGATGACGGTACTCCGATGCTCAAGCATAAAAAAACAACATTAAGATGTTTTATTAATAAAACAGTGCTTATTGTTATATATGGCATGTGTCGATGTGTTAAAAAATCAGCCGTCACTCAAGGTCAATCAAAAATTGCGTCACGATCGATCTGCTGCAATAAATTCCGCAAATGAAAATATGAAATTACATGCGTTACATGAAATATTTTGCAGCAACAAAATATCATTAAAGGACAATTTTCCAGAATTAAGGTAATTAATTAAAAGCCTATATATTAATTCGCTTATATACATTTCGGCACATCAAAGTTTGAGGTATTAACTATAATATTTTGTATTACAGTTCAGAATAAGCTAGAAAGTTCAAACTCTCAAACTTTACGATTATGTGATGCTAAATTCATTGATAATTTACAGCGTTATTGCTAGTATTATTTCCTCGATTCAAAGGTAAGAATATATTATATGGTTAAGTAGTCAAACATGAGTATTTTTTAGCAACAGTGCTATTCAACTTGGTATATACATCGCTTTGTAAAACATACCCACCGCTACAAAGCAATTAAGAAATACTAGAACACATACGAATTTCAAATAAATTTTCGATCCAGCATTAAATATGCGTGTATATAAATATATTTATACGCAAGTATACATTACACACAGTTTTTAGTATTCAATTTCGTTTTGCAAAATACCACTATGATGCAGAAGATGTAATTCCATTACGCCATACTGAACTTTAAAATTAATTTAGAAACAAAATTATATAAACGCTGTCCTTTTAAAAAAATACTATTTTAAAAATATAGAAAATGAATAACTATGTGGAAAAAAACGAATGGTCGTAATAAAAGAAAAATGAACATGTTTAAAAATGGGGAACTGAATGTTTTTTTCTCCGGCGAAACTGACGATGATGAACACACGAAGAACATTCATGAAGCTTTTGCCATACACCCAGTTCCTTTTGGAGAATTTTTTTTTTTTTTTTTTTTTTTTTTTTTTTTTTTTTTTTTTTTTTTTAACGCAGATTATCGTAGAATGTAAAACAAACTAACATAAATGTGTACTTTGTGGTAGTTTACACATTTAAGTGTACAACAAATGTGTACTCTGTGCCTACCTTCCCGAACGCGCGGCTAACGTCATAAAACACAGTCTATAGAGTTAACTTCCTATGGGAAAAATACGTTGGGCATAATTCAATTTAGAAAAGTTTGCATAATTCAAAGAAACATAAATATCGTAGTAATTTATCGGAATTAAAAGGAAAAAAAAAAAAAAAAAAAAACGAAACAAATGTTAATTGAAAGGATTTTTATTACTTATTAATAAGTAAATGATAAAATTATTCCTTTGGTGATTTTTGCTTGGGACAATGACTAGCTCAACTGCTCAAACCTTTCATGGTAAGAAGCACATAATTTTTCAATACCTCTCACGCAAAGTGTGCTCTTCATTTGAGTCAATCTCCACTAAAATTTTAGAAAATTCCGCTGCCTTTTATAACATTTCAGTTACCTTCTTGCAAACTGTAAGGACGCTTTATCTTCATTATCACTGCTTTCATTGCCCTCTGCTGTTATAAGGTCATTCAGTTCTTTGTAATTTCTGGATTAAATCTACGACTTCTTCCATATCCACAAACCTTTCGCCGCCAATTCTTTCTTGCCAATTATACGACTTTTTCTGCTTCCATTTTCAGTGCATACAAA